AGAAATTAATTAAAAGATGAAAAAAAAATTGTGAAACAAAAAAAATTTGGGAAGGTGTTGGGGAGAAAAAAAAAATGAGTTTTGAAATTTAAAAAAAAAAAAAAAAAAATTAATCATTGCCCGATTGACCTAATCCTCAAAGAACTCAATGTTTCGTTCTTCTTAACAAATTTATTCCATACAATTTGAACATGTATTTATGTCATTGTTTTGGGGGTTAACATTTTTATTCACGAGGCAGCATCCGGCAGACATTCCCACGAGACGGTTGCTACCGCGCGCGTGCAGCGATGAGCGCCCTCTCGAGGAGCACGTGCCCGTGTCCTTAAACCGTTGGTGTTCAAACGCTGGGGACATGGGACTGTTTGTTTAATTAACGAGCCGAGGGGGCCCACCATCGCATCAGACTAATCCAACCCCGGACCTGAAGGAATGCCCCCCCCCCCTCCCCCCCCCCCCCCCAACCACCTTGGGGATATTAGCCGGCATTTGATGCCAGACCGGTTTCTAGAGGTTTTCTTTAACCTTTGATTTCATCCTGATATTGTTAAAGTCTCAGCATCTCAATGTCAGGCAGCTTAAGACATGACAATAATACGATTTCGAAATAGTTTTCCCCACATAATTTATTTTGTTCTATTTCTTTATGCCGATATCATATTATTGGTTGTTAGCGGTTTGTAAGATTTAGAAAAGACCGAATGAGAATTTTTATTTTTAAAAAAAAACGTAACTAACGGAAACGTGAACTCGGTGAGTGTTTTATTTATGGATGAACTTTTCAGGGCCTAAACTAGTATTAGCCTAAACAGAATAAAAGCAAACACATCTTAAAAGTTTATAGGCTTAATGAATGTGACAGTTTGTTAAAAGCGCTTTTATCTGTATATATAATGAATGAGACCAAAGTCAGCCTAAAGAAGATCAACCCTAAAGAAGATCAACACCTACAGAATATACTTCTAAAATTAAACTAGACCGTGTGGGGTGATGAACGATGTCCTGTCATTGCGGGTTGCGCCGACCCAGTCGAGATCGAGGCAAGGAAATTCCATCATCTTAAATTAATTGGATTTGAGTGATTAGGGGGGAACCAGTCCAAGCACGGCAAGCTGACCAACGGCCAGCTGATGGGCGAATGGTTCTGGACGCTTGTCTTGAAAACGCTACTGCTGTTATGTGTTGAGTGTGCGAGTGTGTGTGTGAGTGTGTGTGTGTTTGTGTGTGTGTGTGTGTGTGTGTGTGTGAGTGAGTGTGTGTGAGTGTGTGTGTGTACAGCTGAGCTCGTGGTCCAGAACTTTGACGTTGTTACACAGCGAGTCGAATTTGAAATAACAAAACCAACAGCAAAAGCAACAACAACATCATCAACAATAAAAAAAAAGTAAAAGTAGTCAATAAAACAAAGTAAAAGTAATACTTACAAAACTCTTAAAACTCTCATGCTCTCAAACAGATTGGCCGACACTGACGTCATATTGTTGTTACTCAACGTTCTGAGAAAACAAAGACACATTTTCTTGTTTATAAAAAAAACAAAAAAACAAAAAAAAAAAAAAAAAAAAAAAAAAAACAAAAAAAAAAAAAAAACATTTTCTTGTTTAAAAAAAAAAAAAAAAAACAAAAAAAAAAAAAAAACCGATCACTGCCCCACAGCAGTTGTGAGATTTCATAAAAATTCAGACCCTTGACTCTCTGAAAGCAATGTCTTTCCACGAACTTGAATCTTCCCATTTGATGAGGAACTTAAAAACGTTCACACATTTCTTTTAAAAAAAAATAAAATAAAAAAAAATAGGATTCTCAATAAATAAATTGATACATTGTTATGAAAAAAAACTATCCAAATATCCAAAGAATATATCCAGACAAAATATATCCACTGATGTTAAGGAGCATAATACATGCGACCGCGTTGTTTTTCATTTGTGGTATTGTTTTTAATCTTTTATTTTATCCCTTAAATAGATATTACTAACAGTCCTAATAGATTTAAATATTTATAAGATAAGGGCTTTTGATTAACTCCCAGATGCCATGACATGGACTTCGAGGTGTCATTGCATGAACCCTTGAATGCCATTTCATTGATCCCCCCCC